CCACTCACCTGGGGCAGTAAAAGCAAACATCCACACTGAGATTATAGTGGGAGAAAGGAGGGCATTTATGTGCAGGGCGCCAAACAAGGAGAATCGGGCAACTCATGCTTAAGGCCCACCCTTTTTGATGGCTCACAATCAAGGATTTTTAAAGGTGGGGGCAAATTTCGGGAAAACAGAGTTACAGACAACATCATAAATCAATGCCTAGAAGTGATACACTGCCTCGGCCTTAAAAGGTGGAAAATCCTGTTGAGGGAGCTTACAGGTCTTAAGTAGATTTAAAGATTCTCTGATTTGTGATAGATAAGGAAGCAAAGGTTCCTTACACAGCTAGGGGAGTAGAGAGGAATGTTCAGGCCTGGCCTATAGCCTTGACTCTCTCCAGTCCCCTCAGGAAGAAATTTAGAACAAAGAACAGCGGTCAGAGTTCAGTCCTCAGTTTCCCCTTATCTGTGGTCTCCCTATCAGTAGATCTATTAGGTGGGATTCCATGTTTCTGAAAAACAACTCAGGGACATATATTAAGATGTTACTTTTAGTTTCTATAGAGAATCAAACATCTTGTGACTCTAACTTTCTTAGCTATTGTTTTAAGCTATCATTACCTTCTTGTTTATAACATCACTCACTTACTTTTTAGGGCTGGCTAGGTGCCTGGAATTTCTCTTGAAGGAACTGAAAGTTTTTCTTTATTTCCAGGTTGGGAGTCCCTGGCAGGCTTCTGAGAGGTTCCTCCTTTATCTCAGATGCAAATGCTCGGAGTGCTACAAAGAACTTGAATGGGAGGTACTGCAACCATGTAGACCACTGAGTCACATTTCTTTACACTGGAAAATGCACCGGCTCAAAATGTCCAACAATGCTCAGAGAGATATCCTCCTCAAAGGAAGAGTTCCACAGAGAATTAAAATAGCCAGTTGAAACATTGGGTGTATAAAGCAAGAGTGGGGAAACAAGCACGAAGGGTGGCCTTATACACCTTCATGAGGGTGCTCACACTTGACATGAGAGTATCCTCTCTTTTCCTGGTGGATCAGGGAAGGTGCTGGTGTGACCTTCATATATTCCTTCCCATGGTGGGAGGACACTGGAACAATGACTGTAATTCACCTCAACTTGCTTTTCTCATCCCTGATGCAGTGATCCCAGGATTAGGGATGCAAATAGAGTCCAGAAACAGGAATTATTCCTAAGCAAGAAACTGTAAATATATTTTATGTCCTTTGTGTAATAATTCCTAAGGGCCTGGAGAAGTAGGTTGTGCCTTCACTGCATCTGGCAAAGTTGGGGCTAACACTGAATGCAGCTGTATTGCCTGGGGTCAGATAGCCACCCAGTTCTCTACCTGCATAACCCTCCCCTCTATGAACTGGAATGGCTGACGAGAGACACTTGCTAGAACAGTATTGGTCCCCGAAGTCTAAGCCAGTACAGCAGCAGAATGCAGTGTTCCTTCCAAAATTATAAATGTTCAGTATAAATGAAGAGAAGGAGAAATAGTAGCTGAGGGTAAATGAATGAATAAATGGGTTATGTAATAAGGAAAATCTAGTGTTACATGAACTACTCGAAAGCGGTATAAGCAAGAGATGGTATTGTCTCTTAGCTCCATTTCACCAGGTACCTGAAAGGGTGCAGTCATATGTTGCTGAGACTATGCCTGTTTTGGGACTGCACTGGGATCATTGTTAATCACCAAAGAGGATTCTGGCAATGTACCAGGATCTTTTCACTGTTATGATTCTTCTGGTGTAGGAGATCTGTGATTGGCCCGGTACAGTGGCTCATGCTTGTAATTCCATCACTTTGGGAGCTCAATGGTAGGAACATTGTTTAAGGCCAGGAGTTTGAGACCAGCCTGGGCAAAATGGTGAGACCCATTCCTACAAAGTATTTAAAAATTAGTTGGGCATGGTGGTGTGCACCCATAATGCTATCTACTCAGGAGGCCGAGGCAGAAGGATCACTTGAGTCCAGGAATTCGAGGTGACAGTGAGCTATGATTGTGCCACTGCATTCTACCCTGGGCAACAGAGCAAGAGATTATCTCTAAAATAAAATAATAAATATTATAAAAAGAGATAATGTAGTCAAAACCAGGGTGTGATCTGTGGTCCGATAACAATATTTGGTCTTTGTCCTTGTTTCCTGACAACCAGGTTCTAAAACATTTGCAATCTCCTCAGTGATAAACATGACTTCAATATGGCAGGGGGCTTAGAAAATACTCAGGCCACTCCCCAGAAACCCTGTCTCAGAGTATTACGCACAAGACCAATGAATCGTTTACATAACAAGCCCTAGAGATGAGGCTGATGCTCAGACATGTGGGATCCTCATGTTCTTGATACTCCAAGTGTAATCTGGAGAACAGCAACATGAAATCCAGCCTTGTCATAAATACAGAATCTCTTGCTCCACTCCAGACTTCCTGGATCTCAGCACCACGTCCGGGTGATCCCTGTGCACACGGAAGTTCCTTGTCGAAGTGTCCTCTAGACATGGCGTCAGAACTGTGCAGTCTGCTCTGGGTGTGCTCTGATCACATCCCTTACAACTGGAAGTCCAGGGTTCAGTCCGTGCCCTCATTCTTTTCCACAGTCAATCACTCCCTTGGTGCCCTCATCCATGCTTGAGGTTTTAAGTATCGTTCATATGGTGTGACCTCCTAAATCTATTTCTCCTGCCCAGTCTATTTCTCCTTTCCTCTAATCTCTGGAGTTGTCTGTCCAAATTCCACCCCAGCTCCACCACCTGCATTCCTAGTAGACATCTCCACTGAGTGCCTGTGATGCCCCCTCCTCAGTATGCTCCTGCCAGAGTCTCCCCATCTCCACTGACAGCAGCTCCACCCTTCCATCTACTCACTCATTTTACAACTAAGTGTGTCCTTGATTCGTCTTTCTCACACCACAGATACAATCCATTGACAAATGCTGTGAGTGCATCTTCAAATGCATCCAGAATCCCCTCACATCCCACTATTTCCCCTGCTCACAGCCCAGTCAAGGTAACTGACATCTCCAGCCTGAAACACTGCACTGGCTTCCTACTGTTTTCCCTTCTGCCTCCCTCGTCCCTCACCTCTCAATTCTGTTGTCAGCACAGCAGTCAGAGAGATCCTTTTAAAACATAAGTTTTATCATGGCCCTTTTCTGCTCAAAACTGTCCTTTAACTCTTCATCCCACTCAGAGCAAAGGTCAGATCCGACCCCATTCCCCTCAAGCCCACCTGCTCTGGCCGCACCTCTGACCTCACCTCAGTTTCTCTCTGTCCAGCCCTCCTGGCCTCCTTATTCTTCTGGAAACACAGACACCTTCCTGCCATAGTGCATTTGGACTGGAGGATCCTCTGTCTGGAAAGAACTTCCCCAGACATCGTCATGTCCCTCACATCCTTCCTCAAAGGTCACCTTTGCAACAAGGCACACACTGACCACACAGCACAACAGCCACATTCCCTGTCCCCACTGCCCACATCCTGGATCACCTGCCTCACAGCACTTACCACCTTCTAGCACTTTCCTTCCTTACTCTGGTTATAGCGTATCTATCGTCTGCCTCTTCCCACTGGAACATACGCTACAAAAGACCAGAGACTTTTCTGATTTTACTTCAGTGGTGTTCCCAGATGCAGAACCATTCTGTCCCACGTCTGGCCAATGACAAAGGTCAGTTGAATGAATGATCACTGTAGAGCACCTCCCTATTCTAAAGGCAGTATCTTTATTAACATAGCCTTAGGCCAAATGCTGCTTTGTGGCAGCTACAGCACAAGGTCCCCTCACACTGAGATAGAGGCCGCCTATGTTTTTCTCAGCAGTGCTGCTTGGGTGCCCTCCCTCCCCCATCCCTCTTTCTACAGCAACGCCCCCCCACACCCTCCACCCCAGCACACTGCAGCACACCATCAGGTTCTCTCTTCAGGAAAGAACAGTCCTTGATGATGGGTCCAATTTCACAGACAAATCTAAGTCTAAATTAGACTCTGCTTTCTAGATTCATGAGTTGGGATTGGATTCAGCACCAAGATCACTAGAACCAGGGCAGGGAGAGAGGGCAGGAGAGCAGAACAGAAGCTCTAGAAGCAGGGCAGGAGGTGAATGGCTCTGAAAATTTTTCTCAGAATACACAGAGACCCCCGTGTGCAGGGGCTGCCCTCGGCGACGTCTGAGCCTCTGTGGTCACAGCTCCTGCTGGACAAGTTTCCACTGAAGGGACAAGGACGACGGAGCAGTGAGGTGACCCAGCTGAGGACTGACCACACAAAGTCCATGAAGAACTGAACAGCAACTAGACACAGGCCCCGTCCACACTGGGCTCCTCACTGCCTTCTCCACCCCCACCTGCAACAGACTCAGCACAGGGAACATGCAGATTCTGGAAGGTGCTCAGGTCTTTATTTGCTCTCTCAAATTCCAGGAATTGATTTATTTAATTAGTCCATCAACCTCTCATAGCAGATATTTGAGAAAACAAATTTATATTCAGATTCTTATTTTCAGTAGGGAAGTAAGAAGTTGCAGCTCAGTGCACATAAAGTTGAGACTGAGATGGAGATATCCAGCCCCACCTCTCTGGAACAGGAAAGATGACTCGGGGGGAAACACTGGTCAACGTGGGAACAGGGGTCACGGTGGACATGGGGGTGGGCTGTCTCTCCTCCTCCTCACATTATGCTAACAGGGTTGCAGACACATTCAGATGCCTTTGCAGAAAGAGATGCCAGAGTCTCTCCAAAAGGGAGGCATGAAGAAATCCTGCTTCTCAGTTCCACACAAGACAGTTGTCTCAGGCTACAGAAAACAAGTCATGAACAAAAAAATTCAAGTCAGTCATGGTAAGTGATGACACTCTTAACAGCCCACCACACACTCGAAACGTTACAATCAAAGAATCTCCATTACCGAGGCCTTTCCCCTCTGACCCCCAACCCACCCAACGCCAAGAATCTCACCTCTTCAAGCCGTGAGAGACTCATCAGAGCCCTGGGCACTGTCGTTGGCTGGGGTAGAACAAAAACAGGAGCTGGTCAGAGCCCGCAGGAGACACGGGACAGGATGAATTACGGGATGGGTGAGCTCCTCCACACTCCCACCCCCACCACTTACACACAGCCTGAGAGTAGCTCCCTCCTTTTCCACCTGTGGGAAGAAAATATCCTGTGAGGGGGCTGGGAGGAAGCAGGGCCATAAGATCTTAGAGGAACCTCCTAGTCTTGGACCCAAGAGAAATTTCCAGAACTATGACTGCAGACCCAGGGCAGGATCAGGGAACAGGAGGAAAGCAGCTGTGTGTCCTGGACCAACTGCCCTCCCAAGGTCTGTCCTTAGTAGGGACCTTCCCCTGACTCACGAATGCTGGAATCAGGACCCCAATACCATAATCATCAAGGTGATACATCCGTCCTTCATTGTCACATGTGCTACACAACAGAGTAAGTGCTGGTACACAGGGTCCCAGGCTGGGTTAGCCCCTGTGTGGATGCTGCTTCCCAGGAATGAGGCAGGGAACATTTCTACCTGAGGATTGAAACCCCCAGAGGGACAAGAAAACCCAGACCCCACCCCTCACCCCCTCCCTACCTGAGCTCTTCCTCCTCCACATCACAGCAGCGACCACAGCTCCGGTGACCACAACTGCTAGGACAGCCAGGCCAGCAACAATGCCCA